TATTGGAAGCCCTTCCTAGGCAAACCTTTCCAAACCAACCAGAACATATCCTTTTAATAAAAAATAATAGCTATGTTCTCATTTTCAAAGTTTGCGATTAAAACCTACAGTGAAAGAATCCAGCTGAGAAGAAATTTCCTTTTGGTTAAAAAAAAATAATGTCATTAAATTTATCGGAACAATATGAAATGAAGATGTTGTTGTTGGGTCCTTCACTTATAATAGAAACCAAATAGGTTTGCTGGCTTAGTTAAATCCATAAATTATTTGCCACAGAATATTTCAACAATAATTTTAAACATGTAAAAGTTAAGGTACCAAAGAAAATCCCACTATCAATGATAACCAAACTAAACAATTACACATCTTTTTTGCATGTGATTTAATTGCCCAGATTTCAAAGAAAACCACACAATCTCACGTGTTAAAATATTTCTTTCACATATTTTAAGCATGGCAGGACAGCTTTTCAAAACATAACTTGTAGTATTGGGTGCCATTCCAACTGCCGATTCAGATTCTTTGACATGGCAGCTTAAGTTTGCTAATCTTGGCTTATACTTCTAAAAACAACTTACTACAACTTTACATGGTAGCATTCTGTTTTTCTTATAGTTTATAGCCTAAAAAATGTACTGTTTAATTACTTTTGATATTGACAAAGGACACTGTTACTCATTTCATTTTTCAACATAGAGCTAAAAGGTACATGAATCATCCTTTTGAAATTTGGAATGCAGGCAAAACACTGGAAGTGAATGCAGACTAAGTAAATAATTCTTCTCATCATCTAAACTTTTTTTCAGGGCATCAGCACTTGAAAAAGTAATTTTCTTAGCAGCAGCCTATTGCCCTAAAAAAAGAAATGGTGAAAAATTTATTCCCAGAGAGCAGTTTATTTACCATATGATGTGGCTCAGTAAAGTGTTTTGTATGCTGGAAATGTAAAGTTAATTCTTCCTGTTGAAGCCTTAGGAAAACAGGCACGTCGTAAACATACTTTTGCATTTTAGAGCTGGCTCTCATTTTATTTTAGAAGAGAGTTTTTTTCTATACATCCCTTAAGTCAGCATTCTTAGGTGTGTAGAAATCAGAATAAGTAATTTAATAGTATCCTTGTATAACAGATCTAATATAACAAAATATTAGAGTGCTCCTTCACTCTCCACATGGGAATACAAAGGGGTGGGGGAGGGTAGAAAATGAAATCCCAAGAGATGAAACTGAGCTTAGCCAAAATGATACTTCTCTATGAAGAATTTTAAGCTCCTTCAAAAGTGGTGGTTAAATTAGACCTGAGGCTCAATACTGCCATCTCCTTCCTAAATGCAGAAATACAAGAAGCAATCTCAGGATAAAAATAAAGGATAACAAAGGAAAAAGAAGTGGCTACTGGATACACTAAATTCACCAAACACTCCCCACTCCCCAAAAAGGCAAAGCATACAGCTAACTTGTTTATCCTATGATTGATAATAGTCCAATTTATTTTTCTTATTTTGAAGGTATTTAAGGATTGAGACAACTCCTAAGGTGGAAGATAAAGCCAATCTTAAATTTAGACAGAGTAATTCACCAAACTGTCTTTATTTTAGCTTTTTTATACTCATTCCCTGACTCCAATAGTTTCCTTACCCAGTAATTGATCCTTGAAAATTCAACATTATTAGAATGCTTTCTTTTTTTAATCTAAAGCTAAAAATCTAAAAAATCTAAAAAATAAAAATAAAATAGCTCACAGAGAGGTAGATTTGTAATATATCATCAACTACACAGACCCTGCTGTGCACTTCTCAGGTAGGGTGACAGCAAGTTTCTAGACAGTGTGGCTTTATGCCTATTGTCCCAGAGTAATTATTAAAAATTCCCCATTCAATCTTGATAAATTATATGATTACCCTAGTCTCAGTTTCTTTATTGAGGGTAGGATTTACCAGAAGAGAGAAAACCACTGTGGCAAATAGAGGGCCACTACCAAAGTGAGGAAAGTGATAAGTAGATTTGGAGTGTTGAAGGGAAGAGTGCATCTCAGGGAATTATTTAGGTGTTACCTTTATAGGACTGAAAAGGCAAAAACCCATCTGATATAAAATGCAACACAATCTTGTCAATAATATAATATATATTTAGCTAACATAAATCTGTTAAATCACCAGATTTGTTTTATCACTAAATTTTTTGAGCAATTTATACCTTTGCAAAAGAATAAAAATGCTAATTTGCAATCTATCTTCCCAACCTAAACAGATTAGTGCTACTGCAGCCATTTCTCAGATCCAAAGCAAAGAGGAATACATATAGAGTCAGCCTGAGGGAATGAGAGGTTCAGGAAAGGTGCTATTCTACTAGAAACATTATCACCCAATTCAGCAAACACTTTCTCTCCCACTAGCATATGTTGAGATCTATGAATGAATCCTAGAGGAACAGGTAAGTTATTGCTATGTTGGCTGTTAGAGAAGTTACTCATTGACAGAACAACTCTGTTGCCCTGGCTGATACACAAAAAGCCCACATCCTTAAAGGTGGTGTTCAAACTCAAGAATGGACCTTTGACTCAAACAGGAAAAGGAGAATGTGGCCACTGTCACTCAAGACATAGTCAGAGAGGAGCCAATGCTCTAACAACATGAGTGGTAGAAGGAGATTCAGTATTAAGACTTTAGAAATAAAAAAATAAGATAGAAAAATTTCTGTGAATCTATCAAAAGAACATACTTTATATTAATCATAAGAATTATTTAAAAATATAACTATAAAAATATAATATGTATTTATACATTCTAAATTTAATAATTCAACACTTCAAGACAGTTTTTAACTAAACTATGAAATGAAATCAGGCTTCAGCGAAGTTTTCCCCTTCCTCTAATAATGGGCAATCTTTATATTAATATAAAAGTTACTGGAGCAAATTATCTCCTCACCCACCACCTCCAAGTTTACTCAATGTACGTTTTAGACATTTGGCTTTAGGTCTTTTAATAAGAAGCATATATTTTACATGTATTTAATGTCATTCAAAAGAATATGTTTTCAAAAGTTACTATAAACTGTGTTACAAAAACTAAAAATGATACATGTTTTTGAATGACCAAAGGGGACTTACTTCATGTCCCTCAATACTGCCTTTAGTTCTCTGAGAAAGCAATGCCAACTTTAAGTCCTTTCTGCCTTTTATCCAAAGTTAGAAAGAAAGGACACCAAGCCCAGCTGCCTAACTCTGCAATGCAGAGGGTGGGTGAGGCTATCATTGAAGCACAAGGAGCACCAGATAGGGTTGCTTCACCTTAGTTCCTTGAACAAAAAGACATTGTGCACTGCAGGCTGTCAGCTATTCCTAAAGTTTCATGACCATGTATGTTGGCTCAATTGTGGGGGAAAAGTTGGTGAAAGGAAAACATTCAGAGCTGGGGTGTTTATCTTGTGCCCTCTTCTCAGCATCAGTAAGTGGCAGCATTCCCACTGGTGGGCCCAACGATGAGAGAATCCTACACAGAAATTTCTCCATATATAAATCAGGAGAAAAACATATTCTGCTCCTCGAAGACTAAAAACACTCTACCTGGTAGAAGCACTGCCAGCCACATCCTTCTATTATTTACTCTTACAAGGGGAAAATTGAGAGAGCTGTAGTGGGTGCTGTAGAACTAAGGTCGCTTTCTAAATAAGGACAGTCAAAAGCTAAGAGATGGGCCCAATAAACATATCTTTGCAAAAAGTATTAAGGCCAAAGTCTTTTAACCTTAAGTGACCTGAAGAAATGCCCAAAGGGCATACTGAGGATGACCACGCACCCTTGTAAAAGTGACTTTCAATCTTTTTCAGAACTCCAGACCACTCGTGGTGGGTAAAAAGCTAACACCCCACTTGCTCTTAGATACAACTCACGAAAATTATGATTAAGAGTAGCTCTGATTTTCATAATACCTTATTGGAGTGAAAATGTCCAATTATTTGGTCCTTTCTTTTGGCCAATTACCTGATAAAGTATGATTTTTCTGTTGAGGTAAACTGTATGAACATGAGCTCAATTAATTTAATGTTCTTAATCTCATTGACATATTGGGCAGGGCTAAAATGACATGTCAATGCAAAAGAGGGGAAGGAATGTAAACAGAGAGGCACATATGTTCTCAATATATGGATACCAGCATATAATTTGTTTTATAAAATGTGTTGATTCTATGTCATGAGTAGGGAATTCATGCTACAGCAACTGACTCTCTCTAATCTCATTCTCCAATCCTTCTTTCTTTCAAGAATCATCCACAAGTCATATTCTTCATCAAGCATCCCCTAGTGCCCAGAGACAGAAGTAAACTTTTTCTACACAATAGTCTCTCTTTATCCCCTTATCACATCTTTCTTTCTCTTTCCTTCCTTCCTCCCTCCTTTCTTTCTTTCTTTCTTTCTCTTTCTTTTTCTCTTTCTTTCTTTCTTCTTTCTTTCTTTCTTCTTTCTTCTTTCTTTCTTCTTTCTTTCTTTCTTTCTCTCCCCCTCCCTCCTCTCTCTCTCTCTCTCTCTCTCTCTTTCTTTTTGAGCTGTTGCCCTGGGTAGAGCACAGTGGTGTCATCATAGCTCATTGCAACCTCAAACTCCTGGGCTCAAGCAATCCTGTTGCCTTAATTTTTCTATTTTTAGTAGGCCTCCCAGAGTGCTAGGATTATAGGCATGAGCCACTGCACTTGACCCTACATTTTTATTTCTTGAGGAACTCAACTACCTTGATTATCTCCAGAACAACTGGGATTATGCCTTATTCTAAGAGCTCTTCAAACTCCTTCCTAATATCTCTGAGAGTGTATCTTATGATGAGAAGTAATTTTTTTCTTGTTGAATTCTTCTAATTGTTTATAAGCCCTTCCTTATGTTAAACCACTTTGTAACTCTTCCCCACAGGTCCTAATTATGCATTCTAGACTTATGCAGAAGTCTAATCTATCTTTCCTGTTATAATCCATTAATATCTTCTATTTTTCAAACTAACTATCCTCCCTAAGAATGGCTTCTAGACCCTTTATCATCTTTGACATCTTTTTAAATATATCTTCCCTTTTATCAATATCCTTCTTAAAATCTCCTTATCAGAAATAAGAAAGATAAATGAGAGAATTACTATGAGGACATGGGTTATGAAAGCTTCTACAGAAGCACAATTATCTAGCTTATGAAGTCATACCTTAATCATTGGCAAAATAATTGAATTAGACCAAGATCACAGAATTCTACAGTACTCTTTCATACACTCTCTATGGTCCACTGTTTTCCAAGGAGTATAGCAAAGAATGAGCTTTTATTTTTTTTTAGAGACAGGTTCTTGTTTGGTTGCCCAGGCTGAAGTGCAGTGGCATCATCATAGCTCACTGCGGTCTTGAACTCCTGGGCTCAAGGGATCCTCTTGCCTCAGCCTCCTAGGTAGTTAAGACTAGAAGTGGGAGCCATTACACCCAGGTAATTTTTTTTTTTAAGAGATTGGGTCTCAGTATGTTGCCCAGGCTCGTCTTGTACTCCTGGTCTAAAGCAATTCTTCTGCCTCAGCCTCCAGAGTTGCTAGGATTACAGTCGTGAGCCATGGCTCCTGGCTAATAACAGTGAAACCTGATTGAGCATATAGCATGTACCACACATTGAGCATGTACATTCTATGCATTAGCTCATCTTATATTCACAATAATTCCTTGAGGTAAATATTATCATTACATCATTTTACAGGTGAGAAAACTGAAGCTTGAAGAAATTATTCGCTTAAGGTTAAACAAGAAAATGGCAAAGTTGGAACTCCACCCAGATTTCTCTGATTGCAAAGCCAAAGCTTTTAAATCTCACACTTACATTGCTTACTCTTAAAAATAGATAAATGACAGAGAGAGAAAAAAAGAGAGATAAAATTAGAAAGTAAATGTGATCACACAAATTTAGGAAACTCTTACGTTATATAAAGAAAACAGGTAACAGCTCAATTTCCCAGAACCTTTGATATACTAATATACATTGCTAATCTTCAACAAAGGGATATACTGTGCCTCCTTCCCCAAACTTACTTAACTAGAAACACTTCTTTCTAAGTGAATCTTGCAGGACTAGTGTCCCACAAAACAGACTTTGGAAAATGCTGCTTTAAGGTAAGAACAACTCTTTAAAAGATTTTTAGTACATATGTTTAGTACATATCAGTTATGAAGCTAACAAATAGTGCTTATGCCAGCAGATTTTCATACTTAAATTCTTTACTTGAGGGAAACCAACTACCTAAATATAGTCTGAGGAACAGAGAGGAATGTGCTTGACAGTAGCACCTTCCTTCCTTTATTCATTCAAAAGAAAGTAATGAACAGGTACCATGAGTAAAACTGTGCTAAGTGCTGGGCATACATAAATGGCTATAACCCAATTAATTACTTCTCTCAAGGTATTCATTGTTTTGTGGGGGAGGTAGAGAGTCACATACTGTGAGGAAATAATGATATAGTATGATGAGCACAACATTTCGATCATGCACAAAGCTTAGATTCCACATAAAAGGAAATTTAACTCCATTTGGGTATATCAGGGAAGATGTCACGAAAGAGGGGCTACATTCTCTTTTTCTTTGCCCTGATTGCTAATAGTAGTCCAAATGTTTTATCGACTTTTTTGTCCCTCAATAACTGAGAATATATTTCCCCAAATACCAAAAATTAAAGTATCACTCATCTCAAAATTGACCAAAAATTACTCTTTTTACAAAACAATGTGCATGTTTATGTATATAGGCCCATATACCTGATAACAATTTGCTAATATGTCTTCAATATTTAAAACTCAATATCAAATAGACACTTGCTTCTCTAGAGAATAATTTTGTGGAGAAACACATGCTCTATGAATGCTTAGGACCTATATTTACAGACAATGGGAAATTACTTCTATAATATTATGAATCAGAAAAATGTTACACATAAGTTTACACACACACATAATGTTACACATAAGTACTTTTCTAAAGTACTTTAGTATTTACAGCATTTGAAAAAAGACTTCAGGATTATTGCAGGTGATTTCTTGGACTAATACTAGAGGGGAAAGGAGGTAGAAAGGAGTGACACTGATATGGAGCCAGGCTTGGTAAGCCAGCTTTGGACTAATTGTCATATCAATCCCTCAATTTCAGTCTCCAAAAACTAAATGAAAACAAGCATATATAACTGACATTCTTACAAGAAAAGAATGTTCAGGTCTACAGACGGTAAGGTAAAGAATGTGATTTTCCTTCTTATGAAGCACTTTTTAAAACTGAAAAGAAACAACCAACATGTACCTATGCTGTTTGCCTTACTAGATACTCCCTCTGACTGAGGTTTCATATGTTCCCATTAATATAATGATGTGTTATTATAAATAGTAAAAAACTAGAAAGAATAACAATATAGTCAACAATGGGTATTTAATTAAATACATTGTGGAATACTTTCATTAAAAAGTTGTATTTATACTCAATGTATAAAATGACAGAAGCATCCTTATAGTGTAAAACTATGAAATTTTATAAAATGTATTATGACAAACCTATAAATATCATTTTAAACACAGACACTACCGCATTCTAGTTGATGGTAGAATAGCAATTATTTCCTTAAAAAGGCAATTATGATTAGGCTAAAATAAGACATAAAATCAGTTATCCAAATGTTAACTATTATTTTACATATAATAATTGGATACAGAAGGCAGAAACCATCCAGCACTTTCTGTCAATTAAAAAACACTCAAATACTTACCTTAGGAGTTAGGATTACTATTGTTCTATTTGAATGAGGATGGAATAGGAGCAGGCAGTGTTCAATAGAGGATTCCATTGTTCAGAAATCCCTTGACTTTCTCTTTCAAAAGATTCCAAGTCTCTAGACCTATTAAACACCTATTATGTGTTTATGGTCTAGCATGGTGAGATGGAGTCAACTGGGATACACAGTATTTCAGTTACTTTTAAAGCTGTCCAATACTGTGGCAAGATTTCATTATAATAAGTAACTGTCAGAAGGAACTCAAGGTTCCTAACAATTCAAAAGAAATATTCCTTGCTCATATAAATTAGGAATAATTATGTTTTCTATCTATAGTCTAACCACTGAATAATATAATAATTTTCAAAGATATGTATAATATATAAGGATATGGTCCCAAAGTCTTTCATGACATCTCTTTTTATCCTATGCACAACTTAGGTTAAAAATACTGCCTACCTTTTTATTTTAATCGTAAGTTAGGACACACCTCCACTGTGGCCTGGCAATGGCTTTCCTCCCTGCACATGTGCAATGTGTATACTGCCATCAGGAGCTTTGTCATTAACAAGGACTGGAATGAGTATTAATTGTTCCAACTGTCACAGAACTGGCAGTTCACTGACATTGATCAATGACACATCATCACAAAACCATCAGTCAAGGCTTGACTATATTGGTGCTTTATGAGAGCCACTGAAATGGAATTTGACCAATATCAATGCCTTTATCATTATGTGCCTAAATTAAGGGAGGAAATGCTTTTGTGGAATTAATTTAATTCTGTATATATCATTTATCCTTCACTTTTTGTTTGTGATGCCAGATTACCATTACAACTGTACACTTCACATTACAAGTTTTTGAGAAATTAAAAATAATTTCTAACAAAGAAGAATGTACAGATATATAATTTTACATTTTGGGAAAAATTATACAACACTTGCAATATACCACAAAAGTAAGGGGCTACTGTCACTATGTTGATTTCCAGAAACTTACTATGTTCAATCGGTAGCAAAAAGTTTACGTGAACCTGTCGGTCTGATTCAGTTTAACAAGCACTTACAAAGTGGCTGCTAGATATAGGGCGCGGAGGAACATCAGGACATTTGTGAATCACCTCCCTAACCTCATGAAGCTTACAAGGACATTTTAGTCTCCCTTGCACATAAAAGCTCAGAAAGTCAATGGCTCATTTTTTATAGAGTTCTCAGCAAGAGATTTTGCTGAAAGTTAATGAACTATATTTTTGCTACAGGTCTGTGTTTGGAAGAGGACCATGGAACTGATCTTATTTGAAAGAAAATAGCCAGGATCTACTTGAAATTACTGAAACACATGTTTCTACAACACTAATACTATAGGGATGTTGCTTGCCCATCCCCACCCTTGTTCTGAGAATACTGGGTTCTACTAAGGTAAAAAAAAGAAAAGAAAAGGAAAAAAAGGAAAGAAACAAACAAGAAAGTGATGACAGAGGTAGAACTTTTACTACTATAGCCCTAGGTTAGGCCAAATAATAACAACTACCATTTATTGAATGACAACCATGTCCCAGGCATGTCACAAACACTATCCTGTTAATGCTTCAAAGTGGACATTTTTATCCTCGTTTTACAAATAAGAAAACTGAGGCTCAAAGGGTTTAGGAAATCTGCCTAAGGTGATACAGCTATGTTGTAGCAGAATGAGGATTCTAATCCAGGAATAATGTCTCACTCCAAACACCGCAAGTTTCCATTCATCAGCTGCTTCAGTGGAGAGAGGATAGATATCTATGTGGGTACCTACCATTTGACCAAAACAGATTTCTTTGACTTTAATTTAATGTTGCACAATGTATTTTCAGTACTCTCTCAGGTTTTTTAATAACCTCCTCTATAGCCAGATCCCTGTCATTGACTTCTAGTGCTTTTGTTGCTGTTTTTTCTCTGTCAAGAGAAGTTTGAATGACTGTATGACAATTACTAACTGTTGGCACAGAGTCAGAATGGGTCTCAAATTGTTCTTTTCTTTTACTTGTATAAACATAAAATCCAATACCTTCATTGATCAAATGCAAAGTAAAGTTTCAAGAGCACAAAGACCAGTTCTCTAACTGACTGCTACATTCAATTGTCTTGTCTTAAATAATACAAACAGATATACGGAAACCTCAAAACTAAAATCTAGTCAGAAAGCCAGAAGTGGACTTCAACCAGCATAATTTCTTATTCAAATTTTGTATGGTGATGAAATTAATTTGGTAAGGATGGAGTACATAGACACTCAGTAAAGGCTGTATCAAGTTGTAATAAGAAGAGATATTAAAAATGTAAGTACTAGGAGACCAAATATTTTGCTAACAGTCAAGAAGCAATGGGAATATGATTCTAAGATAAGGAAACTAAGAATTCAACAAGCAAACTTATAAGAGAAAAGTTATGTTACAATCTATATTTAGACAATTGGAAGTTAGTTTTCTTGTTTATTGTGTGCTAAATACAGCCATCCCTATAAAAACAGAAATGCCTGTTATTCATCTTCTTACTTTCAAGTCAATAGGCATTTGTCTTTTAAAAATGCCCACACCAATGGCTTAAAAAAATACCATGTTGTTTAAGCCAAGGAATGCCCAGGATTGCTGGCAACCACCTTAAGTTAGGAGAGAGGCATGGAACAAATTCTCCCTTAGTGCCTCCAGAAGGAACCGACCCTGCCAACACATTGATTTTGGACATTTAGCATACAGAACTGTAAGACAACAAATTTCTGTTGTTTTAAGCCAAAAATAAATGTTATTTAGCATGAATTTTATTTCTGAGAGTGAAGCATGAGTTATGTTAAATTATGCTAATACAATGTGTTAATACAAAGGAATTTTACAACTCCAAAGTACATATACAAGTCAATATGGCCCATTATTCTGCATTTTAAGCATTATTTCTTGGTTACCACAAATACGTAATCTTAATGACACTGTCCAATACAGTAGCCATTAGCCACATCTGGCTACTTAAATTAGTTAAAATAAAATCATACTAAAAATTCATTACCTCAATCCCCCTGGCCATATTTTAAGAGCTCAACAGCCATATGTGGCCGGTAGCTACTTCATTGGGCAGTATAGATAAAGGACATTTTACTGGTTTAGAAGAATGAGACACAGAACCACTGTTTCTATTTAAAGAAAATCACGGCTTCTCATCCAACAATGACTTCATAACACTCATATAATGACAGCCATACTCCACAGTCTCATAAATATCACTTCCGTGGATTTACAACCTAGAGAAATTGAACTGGCACTTTACCATGCACGGTGGCAGGTCAGTATCTAGTTTGAAGGCTCTATTGTCCTGAACTTTCTGTTGACAAGAGTTATCTTGCATAGTTCCATTTATGTGGATTGAAACACAGTTGGGGTGAGAAAATGGACGACATGATGTCCCCTCTTCAGAAATGACCCCAATTTATCCAGTGCTCCTTTTAGGATAATTCCTATGTGATTACGAAGCACATTCAACACCAGTAGTAACCCCACACTTTGCAAACCACCAAAATAAGCCCTCAGGATAAGAGAAGGATTGATCTTGGATAGAGGAAAGTTGTGAATGGATCCAGTTCCCATATCCTCTCATTGACATATAAACACTGTGTGGAATAAATTTTAAGTAACAGTGATCATAAACAGTCCAGCCAGAAAGGAATCAACATTCCATAGGGTGCCTACAGACCTCACAATAGGTTTAGACTTTTTAAATTATAGGGTTTCGAAGTTTTCATGATCTGTTCACCAATTATGTTTATTCTATTTAATTTGTATTTATTAGTATTTATCCTATTCTATTCTTTTTCCCCCTGAGTCTGTGCTTTCTAGGATATCTTATTCTGATTATTCTATTCTCTTTATTTCTTGCCTGAATTAAAGTCTCTAAATCCATTTAAGAATTATTTTAATAATTTTTCTCAAGACTTTGGCATTATTTTAAAACTTTCAGGGCCAAGTGCAATAGCTTACACCTGTAATCTCAGTGCTTTAAGAGACTGAGGCAGGAGGATCACTTGAGGCTAGGAGTCAGTAGTTCAAGACTAGCCAGAGCAACATGGTGAGACCCCCATCTCTAGAAAAAATTTAAAAATTTGGTGGGTATGGTGATGTGTGCCTATAGTTCCAGCTCCTCTGGAGGCCGAGGCAGGAGGATCACTTGAACCTACAAGTTTTAGGCTGCAGTGAACTATGATTAGTGCCGCTGCACCCCAGCCTGGGTGACAGAGCGAGAATTTGTCTCTTAAAAAAAAGAAAAAAGACTTTTTTTAAAAATAAGGACTTAGTATCCATGGTATCTTATGAGAACGACAAAGAATAAACATAAAGCTGAGTCTAGCTATTAAGGCAGTCTAGATTCCATGACATACATCTTTGAAGATAGTTGCAAGACATGTTTGCTGTGTTAACATGAAAACTAGATCCATCCTATAATTTGTTTTAACTTCTCTACCTATAATAAGCAAGTGCAACATGTTATAATGCTTAAAGCATAAATATAAAGAAAAACAGTAGAGCACATAACTATGGCAACAGTAGAGCACATAACTATGGCTACAAATATGATAGCAACTCTGACCTAAGCAAAAATAAATATAAATTATTTTTTTTAATTTGCAGCAGCCTGTGTTCACTGCATGCCTCTTTGAGAAACACAGACCCTGAGACGAACTTATACCCAAAGAAGATTTGGTGGTTTCTCATTAAGCCCCTGGCAGTGAGTATTTCAGAAAATTAAGTAGTTTATGAAGCACATACTCTTGAGACATTCCCTTGCTTGATTAGATGAGGCAACAATACAATGTGGATGTGAATTCTAAACAGATGGGGAAAATAACCATAGAAAAAGAGCTGCTGGCTTTGGCCAAATTGTAAAAGGGTTCTCCTAATGGTTAAGTAAAATATACCTCATTGAAAAAGAACTTAGACGGGCCACTAAAAACAAAACACCAAAGTTAAACGCCCCACCATTGGGGAGGAGAGAAAAGGTAATAATTGGAGGGAAGAACAAGAGGGTTGCCGGTAATACCGTTTCTTGACTGGGGTGACGACTACACAACTTTGTACACTGATTCATTCAGCAAAATTTACACAAAATTTACAAAAAAATATAATTTGTGCACTTTATGTATGTATGTTACACTTAGATTTTTTTAAAGTACTTAAATGCCCCCCTTTTCGACTGAGACTCAGAGACTAACCTCAGAATCTTTGCAGGTTTCTATGAAAGAAGCAACAAAAAAGAATTTGTTTAAAGTAACACCAAGGCATATCACTGAGTCAGACACATGTGGTGGTGACATTTCATCTTATGAGGTCCCTTTGTAAACATTTGTAAGCATTAGTCCAAGCTCACTGCTGCATACTAAACAAGATGTTTTATGTCTGATGGGTATTTACTAATGCAGTTGTCAGTCAGCAGCCATATGTAGAGGACCTCATAGATGCATAGCACTGTCTGCACTAGCCATTGTGGCAAGAGAAGTATACTGCACACAGTGAGATAAAAATGACTTATGAATTTTTTTCATGAGTAACATATCAGCAAGTACAAAAATAATACAATTCACACTAAGATTATAAACGCTAAAGGAAGAATAATCAGATTAATCAAAGAGGATCTCCAAGAATTGGTAGCTAGTTTAGAGCAATGGTTTTTGTTGTTGTTGTTGTTGCTTTGAGACAGAGTCTCACTCTGTTGCCCAGGCTAGAGTGCCATGGCGTCAGCCTAGCTCACAGCAACCTCAAACTCCTGGGCTCAAGCAATCCTTCTGCCTCAGCCTCCTGAGAAGCTGGGACTACAGACATGTGTCACCATGCCCAGATATACTATATACTTTTTGCTGGCCAATTAATTTCTTTCTATTTTTAGTAGAGACGGGGTCTCGCTCTTGCTCAGGCTGGTTTCGAACTCCTGACCTTGAGCCATCCTCCAGCCTCGGCCTCCCAGAGTGTAGAGCAATGTCCTTAACCTTGGCTGGGCAGTGGAATCACTTAGAAAGTTTCTAAAAGCACTGATGCTTCAGTCCCAGTCCAAGAGATTCTGAATTAATAAGCCTAAAACATGACCTGGTCATTGTTTTTGTTTTTTTTCTAATGCTCCAGATAATTCTAATATGCAGCCAAGGATGAGAACCAATGCTTAGACTGGGTCTTAAGGTAGATAGCATATTATAAAGGTATTTCGGGTGAGAATAATGTCAAGGAAAAAAATATACGAGAATGAGTAAAAAGGTTGTGTGCTTAGGAAGAGTTAGCATGCTTGATCTGAGATAAACGGTCATATTGAGATACCAGGTTAGATTAGCGATTCCCAAAGTCTGAGGCAGTTTCCATCCCCAGAGTAACAAAAATTAACAACACGTTTTTATTTGTTTTGGAACCTCCATTTATGCCTAGGAAAACTAGCATTATTCATCCTGCTTGTAGCTATCTATTTCTATGATTACCTCACTTCTGTGACGGGGGTGGGGGGTGTCTCAATTTCTTTATTCCAGAATAACCCTTATATTCCCTTCCTCACTTTGAATAATGGAGACATTAAGGATATTATGTTGCTAGTAAAGTACTCTGAAACATTCTAAGGGCACTTAATACTGAACTACCAACGTTTTTAGTTTCAACACATCAAAATAATTGCACGCTTACTACATGACAGACACACTATTCATATTAACTTATGTAATCCTCACAGCAACGCTATAAGATTAGTAGTTTTGTTAACCCTAAAATGCAGAAAAGTGAAGCATAGCATCAAAGTCCATTTTGTGTTACTACAGCAGAATACCACAAATTGGATAATTTGTTCAAAAATGTATTTCTTACAGATCTGAGGCGGGTAAGTCCAATATCAAAGTGCTGACATCTGGCGGGGGCCTTCCTGCCACGTCATCCGATAGAAGGGTGAGAGAACGCTTGCGCAAGAGAGCAAAAGGAAAAGGACGCCAAACTGATCCTTTTACTGGGAGGGAGCCCACTCTCACAATAACGCCATTAGTTCTCTCCTGAGGGCAGAGCTCTTAAAAATTGCACCTCCCCAGGCTGTCACGTCGGAGATTAACTTTCCCACACATGAACCTTGGAGGACACATTCAAACCATAGCAGAGAAGAACCTGACAAGATCACCCGTTAGTAAGTGGGGGAGCTGGGAATCGAAGCCAGGCAGCCAGAGTCTGTCTTAACCACTGTGCTCCTAGGAAAGTTGGGAGTGGACAGCATGGGTGGAAGTCTTTTACAAGCATTTAAAGATTAAAGTCTTTTAAAAGATTTAAAGGTGGAAGTCTTAAAAAGCACGCCATGGAATTTCACCTTGCTGGTGATAGACGTATATGGAGCGAAGTATAAAACAAAGATTTTTTTCAGGCAGCTGTTTTCACATGGGACTGGAAGGGCATCTGACACCACTGACTTCCTGACGTGCTCTTTAACTTTAGATTTCAATGCACGCTTGTCTTCTGAGTCTCTTTCCACTTTCCTAATGATTCATTTTTCAGACTCCTTTAATGTCTCCTTCTCTTCCTCCTCCACTTTCCCTGGAATTTTTCAGGGCTCTGAATGTGTTCCTCTTTTGCCCTTCTGGCTTCTCTGCAGGGTGGAAGGAGGAATGCTTAAATATCTCAGGTAGGGTCGTAGTTTTTAAATCACCTCAGGTGATAACGATACACAAACTGCACCCCAGCATGTACACACACACACACACACACACATTATGAGAATCACTGGCTGTACAATAGGCAGATGATTCTCAAACCTTCACGGATAACCCATCAACTTCCCAACAACATATTGAATAACTGAAACCCCAGATACATAAAACATAGATCACTATTCCCCACTCCCTCTCCAGGCATTCCCTAGCATGCCTAACAGTATCAGAAATCATCTTCACCCAGTCTCCGTGAAGCTCTTTCTCAATAGACTTTCTAAATCTAATTCACCACCAAATCCACGTGATTATTCCTCAAATGCAGCCCTCGTTCTCTTTTGCACTTCCCGAGCCCTAACCTAAGTTTTCATCCATCCTCTTCTAAATAACTGCAGCAACCTTTCAACTCATCACCTTATGCTAATTCAGCTTCTGCATCACTGTTTCTCTAAATAGAATATACATGTGTCCCACTTTGTAAACACCTTTCATGGCCCCCTGGTGCCTATAGGATAAATGCAAAAACCTGTGTAACATAAAAGAACCACCAACACCTGCCCCAAACCGCCTCTAAAACTTCATCTCCCTGCTTCCTTCTCCTCCTCCAAACCCTGGACTTAAATCACACTAAACTCTTTATTCTTCTATGAGCTGGCAATAAGTTTTCATGTTTCCATGCCACTGCAAGGGCTACTCCCTCTGCCTAGAATGTCTTTGTTCACTCAGAAAACTCCTACTTACTCTTCACTATCCAACACAAATCTTGACTTCCTTAGTAAAATTGTTCCTGGCCCCCTCTTCTGGGTTTCACAGCACTGGGGGCTCCTCCAGGTCCAGAGATAAAGGGCCTTATCGTACCTTATTCCACAATGCCTTCTCATGCTCAAGCTCAATTTCTGGCAACTGGTAGTCACTCAATACACACAGTATTTGTTAAATGAAGGCCTGAGAAACATGACCCAGGATGCTAAATAGCTATTGAGGCCATCTAGTCAAAATGCTATAAGAAACCAGAACAATGGTGATCAAAATGGATAGAGAGAGGTAGGCCAGAGAGGTGAATGACAGTTTTGATGAAGGGTACACAAAACAGAATAAGGATCAGAATAACCAATGGTTTTGTATTTGGAAAATTTAAAGGTTGATGATTAAGGAGCAGTACTAGAGAAATTAGGAAGATTTATTCCCTATGATGGGTTCTTTCATACCAAACTTAACTTTCATTTATGTGGAAAGAAGTAAAAATTATTTCAAATAATTCTAGGATTAAGAGAGCCTTTAGGTAAAATAAGAGCTATTACTAGCAACCAAGTGTCCTGAATCTCAGAATTTTTTCCACTGTAGTATACTGAACTTTAGATTAGATTTCATGTTCTGGACATAAAGCTAACTATTCCAGAAAAAGTGTCTAAAGACAGGGAGTTACCAGATGAATGCCGTTGAAAGGGAGCTTCATACTCAAGCTTAATATTCCATTTCTTTTCTACAATTTCTGTCCTTTTGTCCCTCAGCAAATTAATTCAACGTCATTTTTATGAGATGACCTCCATATCATGTGCACATCTTCTCTTTGAATCCTATAGCATCCTTGTCATTGATCTGACAAGTATATTTAACTTTTTCCTTGAACATAATTTAGTAATTTTGTTGAATGGGCAAAATAGAAGATTTTTATGATTTTACATGAGGGCTCTGAGGCCAGACTATCTAGATCTAAATCCCAGCGCTGCCACTGACATTGTGAGCAGGAGTTACTTAACATCCACAGTTTCCTTCTTTGTAGATAAAATCGTTGGCATGTCCCACAAAATCTGGTTCTGCTCTAATCTTAGAATGGTACCTAGCATATAATCAGTGCTCAATAAATGGTACATGTTATGATTATTACTATTATCATTTATATAGTGATAATTCAGTGACTAGTCCATTTTAATATCTGTATTAATGTTACCTGTCTTAGCTTATAATTCCTTGGTTCTTTATGGGAATGAACAGATGTACATCTAATCAAAAGTTTTAAATCATACCTACCTCACTTCTATTATAACCAACTTAGAAACAGACCTTCAATAACCTAGGGAGACACTCCCACGTCCTGACTGTACTCCAGTAGTTGTCTTATTATGTGCTATATCCTCTACTGACCCAGTCTCAACTATTTTTTATAATGATCTTATCAAATTATGAGTTTATCTCACCTTGAAATCTCACTAAAAAGAATAAACAGTGGAAAAGCATAAGTTTACATTGGCCTTTCATTCCTAAGTATGCCTATGCACAGAAGAAGAAACTGAAATTAAATATTTATATATCTAGAATTTAGCTATATGATTCCAGAAGACAATTTTTTCCCCTCTCCTACTATTAACTAAAGATATGCCAGGCACAGTGTCTCACGCCTATAATCTTAGCACTTTGGGAGGCCAAGGTAGGAGGATGGCTTGAGGCCTGGAGTTTGAGACCAGCCTGGGCAACATAATGAGACCCCATCTCTATAAAATATTTAAAAAATTAAAAAAATTAGCCAGGCACAGTAGCACACGCTGTAGTACCAGCTATTCAGGAGGCTGAGGTGGGAAGATCACTTGAGCCCAGGAACTCCAGGCTGCAGTGAGCTATGATTGCACCACTGCAGTCCGGCCCAGGTGACAGCAAGACACTGTCACAAAAACAAATATACAAAAAGGTATGGATATTCCTACATACCAAAGATGTTGTTACAATTAAGTTCCTTTAAAAATATTTTAACAATCTAAAAAGCACACTCCTCAGTATTTACCCAAATGAGTTGAAAACTTATGTCCACACAAAAACCGGCACACAAATGTTTTTCACAGGCTTATTCAAGCAACCAAGAAGTCCTTCCATGGTTGAATGGATAAACAAATTGTGGTATATCCCATACAATGAAATATTATTCAGTGATGAAAAGGAATGAGCTATCAGTCCATGAAAAGACATAGGGAACCTTAAATGTATCTTACTTACTGAAAGAAGCAAGTCTGAAAAGGCTACATATTGTATGATTCCAAAGGAAAGCCTACACAGACAGTAAAAATATAAGTGGTTATCAGGGTTTTGAGGGCAGGGGGAGGAGGAAGAGACGAATAGGTGGAACACAGAAATTTGGGGGCCAGTGAAACTATTTCTGTATGTCTGTAATAGTGGATACATGACATTATGCATCTGGAAAAATCACTGCTTTTTAAATACTGATATTAAAATATTACATTTATGTCTAAATATTATTTGTCCATTAGTGTCAATTACATGTCTTTTCAAAATTTAATTTTGTCCAATATGCAAAAAAACTAATTTAGCTTCTTAAAGAATTTTTTTCTTTTTTTTTAAAGATGTATGTGAATATATTAGGATAAAATATAAAGTCAATAAGAAAACCTCCTTTAGAGGCTCTCCAATCGTCATCATTTGTGCCAGCTGCCAGATTTTTATACATCACTGTATCATAGGATCATGAGTAAAGAAAGAATATAGATGATGTGGTATAAGCAATCACTAACTACTTAGTCTACCTAATCTAGAAAGTGATAATTAATCTCTACTATTCTCAAAGGTAAAAGATATATCATTTAAGGAGCCATAAGGCATCAACTCTTCCTTAAAATGTATGTCTACTACCATTTAACATGTCTGTATGTTATTGAATTAGTTTTATAGGTATTCATTAACTACTGACAATAAAATATGTAGAAAAAATTAAAGTATGCTATAGGCGGATCATCCATTAAAGACATATTCATCAATCTCAATAAAACACTTGTAATTCTATTTTAAAGTACTTTTACATATGTTGCTTGCATTCCTAGATTCTTTTTGCCTTCATTTCACCCCAAAATTTGTTTCTTAAAATATTTGCACATATTCTACTTGCTTCTCTCTTGAGTGATTATCAATCCCTTAGGATGTTAGATGGTGACAAGAAAACTAGAGGTATATCCCACCCCCAAAAGGGCATTTATTCCCCAGGTGATTCTTTAAAAAGCAACTGAAGAAAAATGATCCCACTTTCAGAAAAGTGAGACCAGGAGAAAGACTATAAAAAAGATAAAGAAAAACAAGACAGGTGTGGTGGCTCACTCCTGTAATCCCAGCACTTTGGAGGCTGAGGTAGGAGGATCACTTGAGGTCAGGAGTTCAAGACCAGAATGAACTATATAGTGAGACCCTGTCTCTACAAAAATTAAAAAAAAAAAAAAATTGGCATGTTGGTGTGAGCCTGGTAGTCCTAGCTACTTGGGAGGCCAAGGTGGGAAGATCACTTGAGCCCAGGAGTTCAAAGCTGCAGTATGCTATGAAGGCACCACTGCACTCCACCCCAGGCAACAAAGAGGGACCCTATCTCTAAAAATAAAAGAAAAAAAATGAAAAAGAAAAAAAAAATAAACAATAGTTCTAGAAGTTTTAACTACCTTAGTGAAGTTATATATTCTGGCATTCGAAAGATTCATATTCAAAATTCATTAACATGAGGCCATTAAATCATTTATTTTTATATAAACTAACTTCCAAAATAAATAATTCTTAATAACTGTTCAAAAGTTGAGAGAAAATGTGAAAGTATTCATTGTAGACCATGTTTTTCTAAAATTAAAATTTCCATAGCAATGTGATTTTCAGTAGAGAGTATTCCATATGCTGAGGAAAATGAGTCTGCTAATACTTATATAGCTCTGCTTTAAACTCATTTGTTCATATACATTATTGTCTTCAGGTATCTTTTATGCCTTTTACTCCACTCAATTGCCTAGACATTTCTAATACCTCCATCTGCTAATTTCTCTTCACTGAAATGTTAAATATTATTTATGAGCTCCTTAAAAATTTTCCAAATATACTAAACACATGTTGTAGTTACACTGATTTTCATAAAG